CAATTTATGTGCGCCGCGAAGAGCGTCGAGGTCATGAACATGTGCCGCAACTGCAATGGTGTATACAGGGCGACGCCTCCTCAGAGGCTGTTTCAGTTTCCACCAAACTCTCCAAAAATGTCACCGATTGGATGAAAAAGCAAACGAAGGTGGCGGAGCATAATCGCACTGCTGCAGAACGGAAAAGACACTGGATCGTGCTCCCTGAGCCACCTGACCCTTCCTTGTCTGGTGATCAGTACGCACAGCTTGTGCAAGGTTTGAAGGTGCACTGCCTATGGTGCAAGCGTGAGAGATGCCTTTCTGTTTATGGTGCTTTCATGGACGTTCTATGCCCTGCTTGTTAAGGTTGAGTCTTCACTGCCTTACGGTGGCCTACTCTTGGCGTGCGAAGGGACTTCCTCTTGGTCGTCTCCATTTTCTACTGGTTTTGTTTTTAGGGGTGGATGATAACCCGTGCTCGGTTGCGTACATCCTCAACAACATCATCATCATCATCACCATTTTGTAGCTGGGAAAACTCACTATTTCAATGATGGCCATGGCTTCAATAGCTAACTGTTGACATAACCAGGTTGGGTAAACCTCCATTTTCCTATGGTTTTCCTATGGTTTTCCCATTAAAACCTCCATTTTCCCATGGTTTTCAGTAGCTTACGTTACATCTCCAACTTTCCCGGCAGGACCAAGCATCGTGTAGCCCTGCGTCCTTTCCTTCAAAAGTGGCTAGCTGGGAAATCCATTTTTTTGGGGGAAGATCCCTGGTTTGCAAAATATCTTCACAGTGGTGAATACTTTTACTTCCCATGTATTTCATGGGTTTGGTCATTTAGTTGCATGTCAGTGGTGATCATCTTGTGCATTTACATATCGTATACATGTATACATATAATTACATATGTATATATTGTCATGTTTCCATTATGTTGCTCAACATCCTCACATATTCCCTTTTGTATTTGGTGGTTTAAAAGTTTTATAGATATGTTGAAATCGGACAACATTGAAGAAACATCCCCTTGCTGATTTCGGGTGATGGTGGGAGCAGGTGATTTTGTAGAGAAAAGCGGTCTACAGAATACAATTCCATCCAAGAGAGTGTCCCCAAATGCACCAGAAAATGGAAGTCTATGGAACCCAAAATGGCTGCCCACTACACAATACAAAACAAGAATCATCAAAAACTACCAAATACGGGTTTTCTACAAAATAGATCTTAAAAAAAATGCCCTTCCCAGGTGTCGTAAGTGTCCAAAAACTTAGACTTTGTGGGACATGTTCAATCCGGCCTTGAGAGTGTCACTATCTTACAGCTATAGTGGATGAGTTTGGTCATAGTGCATACCCTCTGGTAATTTAACATAGCCATGGAAAATGGCCCATTTATAGTGGATTTTCCCATGAAACATGGTGATTTTCAATAGCTATGTTAAATTACCAGTGCAAAAATGTGCATAATATGAAGCACGCTATCAAAATATATCAAAATAGTCATGTTCACAAAACATCAAAAGGTCCTAAAGTAAGATGACACAAAATGTTGTGCATTTACAATATGAAAATTGATCATGTTGAAATAGAACAGAGAAAACAAAGAAAAGACCTACAAACACAACCGAAATTTGAATAAAAGACCAGTACCAATGATCAAATAATATTGTCATTGATCATGTTTTCTGTCATATTATCCGATTGCTATCAATATTATCAAATTATACCAAAAATAGTACCAATTATTATTATATTATATATTGGTACTATTATCATCAAAATTGGTATGTCAAATTATATTATCAGTATCCTATTATCCTATAATAAAATTACTATTGTAATATATTATAATTGTATTAACATATATTATATATATTGTACATATACTATGGTCAATAAATATCACTATAGTATGTTAACATACAGTTATATAGTTACACAAAAAAATGTAGATTAATACTATTTACATAGACAAGAGCTATATGACATTTGCTATATTTTCTATTGTTTAAATATACGTACTATAGACAGTATTGAACCTAGATTTTACTGTATTTACTGGATTACTATAGAGCAATACTGTCTATAGCTACTATATTACTGGAAAATAGTAATGGTTATTACAATAACCATTACTATTGTATACTACATTACTGGAAATAGTAATGGTTCAATACTGCCTAGTATAGCTATATTAATATGGTAATATTCAATGGGAATTCCAGCTGCTCTCGTGATCTTCCGGAGGTCTGATCTATAGAAAAATTGTGGCATTTCTTCGAGATCTTTTTTTGGAAGAGGTAGATGTTAGAGGTAGACATTTATGGAACATATGATCTCGATAGAGAGTAAATGGATAGATAGATATGATAGATACAGCTTGAAAGATATGTTCATATTATTTCATATTCTAATTCCTAGAGCTAGATGGATAGATCGCTATTTTTGTAGATTACAGGTACACTTCTGATTCATGTCTTGATCTTCCCAACCTTCCCAAGCCAGCCTTCAAGGTGCAGAGGATGGGAATGAAGGCCCAGGAGGAGTTCAAAGAAAACGACAGTAGCGGCAGAGAGGCTGCCACCTGAGCCACGACGTAAGTCGTGCCTTGAGATGTGCTATGGATGATTTGCTTTTATTGCATTGACTTGTATCTATATCATGTGTAACTATATGTATATATATATATACAATGATATATGTCTATAGTATAATGTTATTATTATGGGATGTTGTGATAAATCATACACACATATAAGATATGCATATTTAGATTCAGTTGTAGCACAACGAATACTTTTTTCGATCCCCAAAAAAACGTCTCACCTTCAGCGCAGACGTCTGCGCCAGAGGCGCTGCAAGGTCATTCCGCATGACCTGTGACGACTGTTCGAAGTCACAGAAGTGAGATTTAAAAACAAATAGGAGATGTAAATAAGTATAGATAAGTAAAGTATGGAATATAGGATGCCAAATTTTATTGTATAGTTTTGTACAGATTACTATAGATTCCGGTGTTTTTTGCACTAGGTTTGAAAAGATTGTATAGCTGTATCTATACTATCAGATTTGACTGGATATAAATTAGTACAAACTAGTATGATATATGGTATAGTATGCTACATCGCATAATATGATATAAAGCTTTATATACAGCATGATATAATATGACATAGAATGATCGAGAAAGAATTTAAATGATTTAGTACCCTCTGGTAAACTAACGTAACTATGGAAAATCACCATTTTTAATGGGAAAACTCACTAGAAATGCCCATTTTCAATAGCTATGTTAGTTTACCAGAGGGTATATGGTTTGATACTGGGCTGTGCTGAACCCAAAACTTCAGCCCTCAACCCACGGGTCTGAAGCATCACCCGTTGAAGCTTGGAGACTGGAAGATCCCCTTGAAAACATCCCTAGTTGAATACCCTCTGGTTATGTCAAAATAGCTATTGAAAATGGTGATTTATAGTGGATTTACCCAGCTAGAAAATGGTGGATCTTTCCATAGTTATGTAACAGTTTACCAGTTGAATATCATGTCCCAATGTATTTCCCACTTGATTCAATGGAAAAAACACCAGTTCCCCACAAAAAGTCCTCTGGTGGGCTGTACCCCTTCAGCATATCCCAAGTCCCAAAGATGGTTGGTTTATGTGGGTTTATACTCTCACATGTCTGGCCAAACCCATATGTTGGTGTCACAACTGTGTAAAAAAAGGGTAATAATTGCTACTGATTGGTGGTTTCAACCCCTCCGAAAAATATTAGTCAGTTGGGAGTATTATTCCCAATATATGGAAAAATAAAAAATGTTCCAAACCACCAACCAGCTATTATAGGTATACTATAAATAAGATATGTATGCCTTCATAGATCACAATTATGGTATAAAGCCAGGTATTGATTCCGTCACCAGCCGCGCATAATATGGGTTTGTCTGAACATAGGGTACCTACAAACCCCATGGTTAATGAACATTTACCTTTGGTGTACCCATTTTCAGACAAACCCAAGTATCATATCAAGTTGGTTTTATCCCCATATCCCATGTATCCATATATATATATATCATTATATATCCCATTATTGTGAATTTAAACAAGTTTTCCCAGAATTCATTGGTCAAATCCTTGTCGTTCTTGGATAAATCACAAATTTGCTGGATAAATGCATTTTTTTTGCCTTGGGTTCCGCTCCCCCTATCTATACAATCTTTAATTTATATGTGTTTCCCGCATTTACTATCCATTGCCATCCAGCTAGAACAAGCTAATGTCAACCCGGATTAATAATCCTGACCACTAATTGGGAAGGTTACCCCCAAAACAGTGAAAATTCCCTACAAATCCCTCCAAAAAAATGTCATTATACACCCAATCTTGTTGGTTAACACTTCTACATCCATTTTTTGCTGCTATTCCACTCATATTCCATGTCTAATGTTAATAAAATTGAATTCATATTAATAGGCATCCCCGAATTAATCAACACCCACATGGCAAAAACCTTTTGGCAATACTATTCTGGGTTGGTCCCTCCCCATTAATCAGCATGTGCGACCCCCCTGTTACTTATCCTTTAGATTTAAACGGATAATCAATTGAAAGTAAATTGATTTCAGTTGAATTTTTTACCATGCAGGTTGGTAGGCAGGTTGGTTGTTGTTATGCATGACAAACCCTAGTTTTTTAATTGGGTGGATTTTTCCGTTCTAGAGGGGGTGATTTCTACGGACTTGGCATTATCCCCTATGTACCGCATGAAATCCTAATCATAGTTTTCACCATCTTGTCTTAAAGCATGGTTAGGAATAACTCATTATTACTATCCTAAATTTATATCCTATGATTATCCAATTTTCTAAGGGTTTACCATTCTTATCCCATTATCCCAGCCTTAAATGGATAATAATAGGATGGTAATAATGAGTATAATAATATCTAAGGCTGGGATAATGGGCCAATAATACCATCCTATAATATCTAGTTATTATCCCATATCGTCATCTCGGGGGGATTGGCCACCGGCCCCCAGCCAACCCCACCTCCAGCAGCCGCCCCATCGATCCCGGAGCGACACCTGACGTCCAACAGGTCGCCCCGGTGATGATCAGGGCCGCCGCGCAGCCCAACCAGCTGAAACGTTTCATGAAACACAGGTCCTCCGTATGCGGATCATGGGAAGATGGAGGTTTATAGCTGGGAAAACCCTAGGAAAACCATGGGAAGATGGAGGTTTATAGCTGGGAAAACCCTAGGAAAACCATAGGAAAATGGGATTTAGCCTCTTGTAAACATACAAAAAACCTACAAAAAACTAGGGAAAATCACCATTTTGTAGCTGGGAAAATCAACTATCAAGAGGAATTATATCCCATTGTTGGTTAAAATATACACCACTTATATTGGTTACCCTCTGGTAAACTAACATAGCTATGGAAAATGGCCCATTTATAGATGGTTTACCTATTAAAAATTGTGATTTTCTATAGCTATGTTAAATTACCAGAGGGTATCATGTATGGTCAACGGGGAAATCATGGTTAACCAATGAATATACCACTAATCACCACTAGTACAATGGGTATACCGGTATACGGTAGTATGTATGGATTATATATGTCTATATTCTGTACGTATGGCATATGTACTGGGATATATAGTACGGGGTTTGATGGGATATGTATATATATATAAGGATCTTAGTGGGATTTAAGCGGATATACACACGTATATATTTATGTGTGTGTACGTATGAGAAATATGTGTATATATATATGATCAATAAAGCACACCTATATATGGACCATACCAAACTTTGTATGATCCACTTTCGTCGTCGTCGTCGTCGTCGCAATCATCATCATCATCATCATCATCATCACCATCACCATCATCATCATCAACAACATTATCCGACATTATCCTCCCATTCCCCCACACTGTTTGGGCTTTGGGGTCTCTTGCCGGGATATTTTTTGAAGTGTCTTGCCCATCATCACAATAATCACAGTTCATCAAACCAAAAAATATTTACCTTGAGATACTCCACTCCACTTACTAACCATCATTTGTGGTGATTTACCAAGATCTTTGCTTCAGCCCTTTGTATGGTGGCCAATCTTAGATACCCTGCAAAAGAACATTGCCAGGCATGATGTTTTCCTTATTTGTGGTAGAATATTGGGCAAACCTACTTCATGCACTGGCCGATCAGAATTTTCCGTTAGATGCCTTATTCAAATTATCCTTTCTGTTCGGGGGGGGATACCCCATTTTAAGATACACCCAAACATCATATTGTGGATTTTGTTGGTTTGTCCCCGCTATATCCCAATTGTAATCCCATTGCATCCCTGTAATGGTTGCTTTTTTATGCATTAAAGTTCCAAAATAAAGATGAAACAAATCATATCCCATTAAACTCCAATAAATATTTCGTTAAAATCCCATATCCCATTAGAATCCCATACATATCACAATTAATATCCCATCATGATCCCATTATTATCCCTATTAAACCATATTAAACCACATTAAACCATACTAAATCATGATATCGCCATAACATAAAACCACCAAATATACAATATAATCAGCCCCCATACATCTACCATTTATTATCCTTTAAAGTCCAATAATAAATATCACCATTAAATCAGTCCTGCAGGGAGCTCAAGGGCCAGAGGACGAAGAGCGCCAGCAGCAGCAGAATAACTTGGCCACTGCCGGCCACCTGGGGCTTTCATCATGGTTGATGTATTAATAGATAGACAGACAGACAGACAGTCAGTCAGACAGACAGACAGATGGATAGATAGATAGATAGATAGATATATATAATGAATGGTTAATAATGGTTATCAATGGCTGTGAATGGTTGATAGTTAATAATGGTTAATAATGGTTAATGATGTATGGTTAATATATAGGTATACCCATTGTGCTAATGGTTTTCAATAATTCGATAGTGGTTAATCATGCTAATAGCTGCTGACCACTTAATAATGGTTGATCCAAAAATGGAACTTAACAATGGTGAATGGTGAAAAACGGTGATTGATGGTCAATATACCCTTGGTGATTGGTTCTGAAACAAGAGCACTACCTGGCTTGTGGTAGATTATCATAACATATCATAACCTATAATAGGTAACCTATAATGGGAAAACCTATCATTCATCCAACTAGTATAATGAGATGTATTCTAGTTTGTCTGAAAACAGTGTACCCAAAGTCCAGTGGTTTATCATCATTGTCCTTTTTGGAAGATATACCCCACTTTCAGACACACCCTTTTAGACACGTTTTGCTTGGGATATGACTGCTATTGGGGATGAACAATTGGGGATGAAAAAATTGGTGGGGTCACATAGAAATTCAATGGAAAATTGAAACTATATATGAGGATATGATAAAAATTCATGATATCTTGTCGGATTTTAATGGATTTTAATTGGGACATGAACGGGTTTGGTACAATGACAGCCCCCCCTGTTGTCTGAACAAACAGGGCAGTGAAACGTAGAGCCTGGTGCGAGTTGAACATTCCTCACTGCCTTTCAATCGGGAGTGAGCAAGGTTCACCCTCTGGTAAACTAACATAGCTATTGAAAATGGCCATTTATAGTGAGTTTTCCCATTAAAAATTGTGATTTTCCATAGTTATGTTAGTTTACCAGAGGGCAACTGACCTTTCATTCCATTCAATCCTGGTTGGTTGAGAACGGGATTCCCAGTTCACGGATGATGATAATCTCCACTACGCAACGGCGAGTTTCGCAACTGGACGCAGGTGTTTCGAACATCCAGCATCGACATGCCACCAAGCATCGACATCTGATCCTAGAATCGTCACATGCCACTGCTCCGGATGATGGTGACAGTCATAATAGTTGCACCACAGGAACTCCGATTCTCCCTTCAAAATCACCAAGAACGCCACTGCGCCACCCCAGGCGTACCTGGGACAATATGGCAAATGGCAGCTCGAAACAAAGTTTGCGGCCCCCGATCATCAAAAATCAGCACACATTGGATGAGTTGTAATAGTTCTTAAACCTGAAACAGCCTGAAACATTTGGTCACTTTGGGATTACCTCGACTAACCTACGAATCATGTGATTTGGAGTAATGTTGTGGTGAGCTCGTTATCGTCCTCCATGAAACATACCTAGGGCCATTGCATTAGCATGAAATAGCGATTCCCGGGTAGCAACAGGCTTATGAACCACTATATGGGGGTTTCCTGAAATAGGGGTACCCCTGGTTATCATCCATTTCTAGATGGTATTTTCTATTGTAAACCATCCATTTGGGGGTACCACCATTTATGGAAACCCCCATATGTATCACTATATCCCAATGACAATCCATTTGAAGACTAATTAGTTGGCTCAAAGGCCCATCTAAGTACTGATCTGGCACACCTCCAGTATCGGCATTGGGAGATGGGTCCATGTCACCCCTAGATTTTTGCTGCGAAAAAACATGTGATTTTTTGGTATTGATCCATAACCATTTCAAAAACCCAGGCGAACGGATGTTAAAACTAGATATCAACAGATATCCAAGATAACCAGATATTAAACCACAGATGAATCCATCAAACCACAGATCAACCAGATATAAAAAACACAACCGTGGCTGTTTTCAAACAACACAGATGAATTGGGGATGCAAATCCAAGGAATCATAAGTCCTCCAGCAGTCGCAGCCTGATAAAGTTATCATACAGACAAGCCACAGAGACAAAAAAAAATGAGCGTTGACCACATTTTGGTCTGCCCCCATTTTTTTTAGCAATTTCCTGATTTCTGTTTCATGAAATTTCTTGGTTTATCATCATATTTGGAGATTCAAATGGCAGTCAGCTGGAAATAAATCCCCATTTCGGAGTACTTGGGATAAATCACGATAAATCCACATATTGTTGGTTATGTCTATCCCAGTAGAACTGTTCATATTATCTCATCCCATCCTATTCTTACTTGATCTTACTTGGATGTGCCATGGGATTAGCGATTCGTGCTTCGTAACTGAGATATACTTCAATTTACATCCCAATCATATCCAATCATTATCTATATTTATCTATTTACCATCTGGTAAACTAACATAACTATGGAAATCACCACTTTTGATGGGAAAATCAACTGTAAATGGCCATTTTCAATAGCTTTTTGTATGTTTACCAGAGGGTACCAATTAACAACAAACCATGGCCCATCTAGGTATGGACCCCGGACCCCGGAACGCCGCGCGACATCACCAGCAGCGCGTTGCAAATCGCTCGACCCGGTGTTCCGAGGACCCGAATCACCAGCTCCGCATAGGTCTCCAGGCAGTTGCTGGGTGCGAAGTGCAGCTCGTACAAGGTCAGGGTCTTCAAAGAGTGCATGGAGAACAAGGTGAAGATCAACAAACCTCGGACCGACTGCTTGGTAGAGAAGAAGTCTGCTTGGCAGAAAAAACTGACGGAGTTGAAGATAGAAGTTGTAAAAATGAACTGATCTTGGTGATCATGAAGGATGCTGGAGTTGAAATTCGGTCAAAACAAATAGCGATTGGCACAACTGCGGCAATCTTTTGTATGTACATCTGGAAATACCAGGGCCAAGACAAAGAAACTTCAGTGGGTGGTCAAGGATTAGTCCGATTTCTCTGTCCGTAAAATCTCCGAAAATATTGTTGTTTTTTTTCATTGGGTGTATTCAGAGCAGAAGATCATGACTTGGAGGTTTCCTAAAATTTGTGGTTACCCCAAACCATGGGTTTCAATACTAAAATCTTCGACTGACGATGATTTGGGGCACCCCAAAAAATAAACAAAACCGCCATGACTTGGAGTATTCAAAACATCGAAATAGGACGGGCTGAAGATGAAGAAGCTTCAGTGGGTAAAGGTAGATTTTTTTAAAAAAAGTATCAACAAACACCGCGCAGCCTCAGAACCAACGGTGGGTGACTGTCAAAAAGTGGGGACTCTCCCAAAAAAAAACGTTAAAAGTAATTGGAGGGAAAGTTGGTTCTGTATGATAGAACCGAGATTTAAAAAAAAAACAAATTCAGGTTGCTAGGTTCAAATGAGCAAACATCAGGAAACCATGGAGGTGGTACCGAAACAAGCTCTCCAGAAATGGTCTATCCCCATCAAAAAATGTCTTCATGACTTTTACTTGTTCCCCACCTGTCAGGTGAAGGTTGTTAGATTTTATGTCAGCTGGCCCGCCTCCTCATCCTCCTTCCTCCGCCGGACCTCAACTGCAAGCTCTGCAAAGTCTTCCCCGCCGGACCTCAACCACAAAGAATCTCCCAAGATATACCAGATCGAATGCCAGAAAGAATGTCAGAAAATATGACAGATACATATGCCAGAAAAAATATCATAAGATATGGCATATATCAGGTTGCTTTCTTGCTAAAATAGAATGTCAGACAGAAGAATGCCAGAATAGATGCCAGAAAGAATGTCATAGATGCCACATAGAATATCGGAATGAATGCCAGATAGAATGCCAGAGAACATGTCCGAATAGATGCCAGAAAGGATACCATATAGAATGCCAGAATAGAATGTCAGAATAGAGTGTCAGATAGAATGCCGGAATAGAATGTCAGAAAATATGTGCCATATATACTTCCAGATGAGATGTCAGAATATGACAAAATAATGTCATGGTGGGGATCGCTCAAAGTAAAGTAACTTCAATGATAACAACAATAATGATTATATTTAATATAATATATACTACTAATATCTACTAATACTGGTTGGTGGTATACCTACCCCTCTGAAAAATATGAAAGTCAGATGGGATGATTATCCCATATATTCTGGAAAACAAAAAATGATTTAAACCACCAACCAGATCATGATTATATAATATATACATATATATATATACTACTAATAAAGAAGATAGTAACAATGGAACAATGTTAAGAAACCGTGAGCCCACCTGATCGCTTTCTGGTATTTTTTCTGGTCGAATCCACGTGAAGTGAAAAAAACACCAGCCCCGGCAAAAAGGGATGAGTGAATCCATGGTTGTTTCCCCTGCTCATATGAGCACTCCTTACTGGTGCTAAACCGGGAATGATCCATAATCACTAGTAATAATCATCCCAGCAACCCCCAGTCCCATCCATTCCCTGCTAAGCACCAGTAAGACTCATATCTATGTTATCTTACTGGAGGTACTCAAAAAAAATTGCCAAATATTACCAGAAACAAATTGCGAAATCTTAAGAAACCCAGCAAGATTACCATCAAATATGTAAAGATGTCAATGTCCTTTTTAAAGCACCCAGTCACAGGTGATGCCCAGTGCGAGACCCAACCTTGGTGCAAGAAACAAACATCGGCCCACTAAACAGGAATCAACGAATCAGCATGAAAAATTGAGTAATAAATGAATGTTTGGATTTTGTAAATAATTGTTAAATAATTTAGCACCATTTTCAAGCATCAACATGAATGTTCAATATATTTGGATTTGAACCGAATTTGAACCCAAACAGATCGAAACATTTCCAAATTGCAGATGACAGTGATCGCCAGTCGCAACTCTCCAAAATTTAAGGTCGACAGGAATTTTACAGGAAACCCCTATGCCCTATGGTATTAGAACATAGAAATGGAAAATCCACCCTTTATAGATGCGCTTCCCATTAAAAGCGGGACTTCCCATTGCCACCTTCACATTGCCACTCCAATGATGGATATAGTATACGTATATCCCCATTATACTTATATGATACTGTGGATGGTTGCGAAATCCTGCACCAGTTGGCAACCGTTAAAGGTAACTATGCAACATTGAAAATACCCTCTGGTAATTTAACATAGCTATTGAAAATGGCTATTCATAGTGGATTTACCCATTAAAAATGGTGATTTTCCATAGCTATGTTAAATTACCAGAGGGTAATGAGATTATAAGGGGATTTCCCAACCATATACCAACTGGTTTTTAGGATTTCGCTGGCCCATCCACCATCCACCATCAATGGGCTCCTTGGCGTTAGCGAAGTGTTCCATTTCTCCCAGGTCGCTGGACCAAAAAATGTTCTTAGAATATTCCCAATAGTCCATCTATAGTTGCTGGTAAAACACAACATTCATCTGAGCACTGTAAATATACCTTTTTTTTACGTATGTTTGATGGTTTTCTTCAGGTATAACCCCCTCTTTATGATGGTGATTTCTCAGGTTAAACTCTCAGAACCGTTTCCGCCAAGTATTTCTCCACATCTTCTGACGAAAATTTGGTGGTGAAATCCCCAAACGGTTTGACTCGACTTTTTTCCAGGTCACTGTCTATTCCCATATTCCATTTACCCTCTGGTTATGACTAACATAGCCATGGTATAGATGGCCCATTTATAGATGGCTTACCTATTAAAAATTGTGATTTTCCATGGCTATGTTAGTCATAACCAGATGGTACTTCAACCCAGCAGTTTTCTTCATTTTGTGTCCAACTTTTCGATTCAACTGCCAATTTTTTTCTCTGGTTGCTGGTTAATTTTAACCATCTTGAAAAATAGGAGTCAATGGGAAGGATTAATTATCCCTTTCTTTATGAAATGGAAAATAAATAATCCATTCATGTTTGAAACATTTTGAAACCATGAAACCACCCAGCGCAGTTCTCCTCCAGGTCACTGTCCCATGGCATAGGGCAGAGTGAGTTGCCCCGCCCCCAGCACCGCCAGGACGAGGTTCAGCGTGGCGTTCGGCAGCGAAGTGCTCCGCACGTGCGCCGGGCAGGCGTCGTCCGCATCGGTCAGGGGGAGGGCGAAGCCAGGGTTCAGCGCATCCTCCAGGCCTTCCTTGGGAGGATGACCAAAATCCATGGAGTTTTTTTCAAATTTCATGTGAATTACGGAGGCTGGTAAATCCCATTTATAGATGGCCCATTTTTCAACCTTCCATTCCATGGCTATTTATGTGAATTAAATTAAGGCCAATTACCATCTCGTAATTTAACATAGCCATGGAAAATCCCAACCATAAATGGAGGTCTTAATGGGAAAATCATCTATAAATGGGTCATTTTCCATGGCAATATTCAATAACCAGAGGGTATATAAATAGTTGTTTATCCGAAATCATGGATGTAAGATCATATAAATGAGTATGACTTAATCATGTACTGTACATATACTAATGGGATACTGATGGTGATTGTTCTATGCAATATTCATGGGATATTCATGGGATAACCATGGAGAACCACCATGATGGTGATAATCCAACCCAGATCTTCATGAGATTTTAATGATCATGGGAATTGAATGGCTTTGGAAGGGCCAAACCATCCCCACAAATCAAAGTCCTTCAGGGTTATTAGTCCAGTTGACATGGGTCATTAAATGTCCCCATTGAACATCACCCAACCATTAGGTATATGGTCTATAATGGCTACTATAAGGTGATGTCCAATATTCCCAAAATGGGACATTTACCAACCCCTGGAGTTGATGGGGAAAAACACAAACATGTGAAATCGGCTAGCAGATCATCGTTGGTTATGTACCCCTGTTGTCTCCATGGAAAACCGACAAACCAAGCGTCGCTGTGTTTCCGCCTTACTCTGCCAGACAGCAAGGCTTCTTTCATGGCGACGACCAATAGGGAGGTTGGTGTTGGTGGTTGGTAGCCCCTCATTAGGGCGTGTTTGTTGACACAGTGAGGATCCCTTTTCCACAAAAAGTATCAAAAAGTCAATGTGGCAAATCCAAAACACCTCACCACGTGCACAAATATGTTTCTAGATGACATGTTCATGTTTTTCTTGGAAACCGATGGATGACATACCACCGACTGCCACCGACGAATTATCGGCACACGAAACACAGGTCATAGGAAGACAAAACTATTTCCCAAAGCACAATCAGGAAAGTGATTTCTTTTACCAAAATTCATCTGCTGCGTAGGTATGATTGTGCATTGTTGGACCCAGCCAGCGGGAATTCTATGGATCCAAAAGGCTCCGGATGCATATTTACATCGCAGCTGTGGCATATCTCAATTGCTAGGAAAATGAGGCGCAAAATAATCAATATTCTTCGTAGACATGTCAAGTGACATTGAGTAGACAGGTCACTTGCGATGGAAAACCCTCCGGAAATCAAACATGGCAGTGGAAAATCCTTCCACGTTTCATAGTCCGAAAACCAATTTTGTGTTGGTCTTCCAACTGGGGAAGACAATTGAGCCATGGTAGCCATCCATTCCCCGCGTTCCCTGGGTAACGTTCCAAACGACGAAAATCACCATCATTTACCAAAAAAATAACGATGGCGATTCATGGTTGATATACTCTACTCTGGTTGGAACCATCATCAACCATCATTAACCATCATTAACCATCATTAACCATCATTAACCGTAGTTATCAACCATGAATATCAACATATAACGCTTAATCACCTTGGCTTTTGCTATGGGTTTTTCGTTCAACGACAAAAATCACCGGGACCCCGGGACCCCCTTGGACGTCCTGCGACTGTCTGAGGGGCGCCTGTCCTCCCGGTGATCTCGACCTTGGGCCGAAAAAAAACATGGACAAAATGAGGACATAATGATTGGATGATAGTGGTTAAACCATAGGAAAACCATAGGAAAATGGTGGGTTAATAGTGGTTAATAGTAGTGATAATTGGATTATAATGATTGGATGATAATAATTATCCATGGATGATAATCATCATAATCATTCATGGATAATGGATTTTAATGGAGAATTATCCATGGATAATGATGGATGATTATAATGGATTAAAATGATTGGATAGTTAATCGTTAATTATAACCCAAAATTATTTATAGTGATTATAATGATGATTTGTTGTTGTTGGATGATCATGATGATAATGGTGATAATGGGTTATAATGATTAAATAGTTAATCATAATTAATCGTTATAAACCATTATAACCCATAGAAAATCCATTAGTGCCCTTTCTTGTTAACTAATTTGTTTAGTAAATGGATAATCATGGATGATAATGATGATTTGTTGTGGTTTATAACTTATAATTAACCAGGTTACTAACCAGGAATCGTATGTTTGCCTTGCCCCATCCAGCCGTGTCCCATTGACTCGGCATGGGATTAAGATGGGATGCAACCAACAATCATGGGGAATATCATGGGAATATCATGGGATATGATTATCATTCACCATCATTAATCACCACCAGGAAAACCAGGGCATTAACTGTATTAACCATCACTAACCATTAAAAAAAACCATCATGAATGGAGGTTTCCTAAGTCATAGGTGCACCCTCCTATTTTCATCCAAGTCATGGGTGAGCATTTAAATGTATTGAACCCCATGGTGACTTGGGGTAATCCCATTTTCGGAAACCTCCATTACTAAGTAACCCCCAAATGGATAGAACAGTGATTTACCACTGATTTAATAAGGGAATTTACCACGTATTTTTTGGGCGTTACTGTATGATATGTGTATATTTAAAGATACATAATACAATACATACTGGGTTGATACAAATCATAGGTTTTTAACTGCTATCAACGGTCTCAGCTGAGATCATTGAGATAGTTGAAAATGCCGTTCAATACAAGCGGAAATGTTTGTTTGCCTTGATAGATAGGCATACTTTTATGTCAACACAACAGCATGAAATCTTTGATAGAGAACAAAGAGGTATGTGTTATTCTTGTTTTTTTGATAAATGGTTCTAGGTTCTAGATAATGATCAACAAACAAATGGGGTGCGGACCGGCATGGAATTGATTTCAAAATAGGCTCGGAATGGTTCAAACATGATTCTGTGCCATGCCAGGCTATTTTGAATGTCCACCAACATACTGCCGCACTGCCACTCAAAATTGTTCTAAAATCACAGAGAGAAGGAATACGCGTGATGGAATCAGATCAACAAAAATATAGTCGTCCTCATCCCACAAAAATACATATGAAAAAAAAACAACTTTATTACAGTTCTGGTTGCTAGACGCTCCTTTTACGGTTGAAAACAATGCATTAATTTGGACCTTGGTCTATTGGTCTATTACGATTTTTGTTCTATGTTCCCCCGATCGAGTTCAGTCACTCAATATCCAACACTGCATCGTGCAGTGTGTGTCTTTCGTTCTCTCTTTGTGCAGGTTCTCGAGTGTGGCGGTTGCAAGGTCATCACTGCGCCCAACTGTAGTCATTTCAATCCCCTTGGTTTGGGGGTAAAGTTGCGGGATTTTTCGGTTCCTTCTGCCTTCGGTCTAAAGCTGCCTGTTGGTTTGGGGTTGTCACCCATGCTCTTGAGGGCGGCGCTTCCCATAAGATTTCCCCTTAAAATTTACTTGGTATCTTCCTTGATTCCAACGGTATTTGATGTGTCGCTCATCGCTCAGCTACCCGAGAGGTGCGCGGGCGTGAAGGAAGCAGCAAAAAAAAACAACGCCTTCATTTTAATGGATGTTCCCATATACATGAACCCTGCAAACAGAAAGTGGTAAACCAAGCAATAAACCATGTCACATCCTACCCAAATTTCCCCTTCTCCGTTGCATCAAATAAAAAACATGCGCCAAAAAGGGGGCTCTGCCAGTCAGTCTACTTGGAAGTGCAATTCCAGTGATAATAGATGCAATATAATATATATAATATATAGGGTTTATATCCCAACTTATGGGGGTTAACTCACCATGGTTATAATTACCCATAAGAGTAACAGTAACCTAACATAGATCACTGATCTCGTTTTAGGGTCTAGATCCGTGGGGTTTACATCGGCTACCTTTTTCAGCCAAGTAAGATGTCTCAAAGCAGCCTCAATTGAAACATTTTGAACACTGTCCAAGGTCAACAATGCCATATCGTGCTTCCAAAAAAATGGTTCAGAATTGCTCGGCAGCACCAAATCGCTCAAAATCGCTTAAAATCACGCAAAATTGCTCAAAATTGCTCGAAATGTCTCAAAATGTCTCCCAATGGGCCAACAAGTGTCTAAAGGGGTGGTGCGCTTGCATATACAGGTGCGAAAGTTGTCATTACTTGGCATTGCTGTTGCCGGTGTCTGCATGGGCTTAAGGTCAGTGTCACTTGAGCCGAGGTCATGCCTGCTGCTACGTTCAGAACCCTCAATCATCAGTTTCAACGGACCAGGGATCACTTGTCATTAGATTGGTTGCCATTGTTTCAATCAACGGCTTATCCCGAAAAAAAATCGCATTGCTTTGATAGGAAAAAACCGTTCATGCCCGCAGTTTCTTTTGCTTCATTACTGCCTCTTGGTGATACCACAGTCAGACATGAACTTCTGGGATTTTTGTTTTTTTTGAGATTTGAAAGGTAGCGGATCTAAACCTAGCGGGTCTACACCCCAAATTGCGAACAGTGAATAGATGTGGAAAATCCACTATTTGTATCTTTGTGTAGATCATTGTCTTTGGGAAAACATGGGTTTTCCACCTCAATTTGTATGTTTACCCTAGGCTAACATCCACAACTGCACCCCCAAAACCACAACCAGTCACAGCATTTCGCCCAAGCCACGATGAAAGTCGTCATCTCGATCACGCCGGTCCCGGTCGTCGTCCCGGTCGTCCCGGTCGCGCCGGTACCGGTCGTCGTCGCGGTCGTTTCGGTCATGGTAGCGGTCGTCCCGGTCGTGGTAGCGGTCCCGGTCCTGCCGGTCCTGGTTGCGGTCACGGGGGGATGATGATTTTCATAGCCGTTTTAGGGGAACACAACCAATGTTTTGAAGATATTATGGTATGGATATGGCTGGAAAATGAATTCAAAACAAGCTGAAATTCAGATTTAACCCCAGATTGGGGATATAATTTTCACTCCTTTTCATTATTGTATGAGTGTGGC